AGTTGTAGCGACAGGTTGTGGACTTACTTGAAAGGGGCTATATCAGGGAAAGTATGAGCCCATGCACAGTTCCTGCCTTGTTGGTACCAAAGAAGGATGGGTCTTGGCGCATGTGTGTTGATAGCCGAGCAATCAACCGAATTACAGTGAAGTACCGATTTCCCATTCCTCGACTTGACGACATGCTAGATAAGTTATCGGGCTCTAAGATTTTTTCCAAGATCGATCTTAAGAGTGGGTACCACCAAGTGCGGATCAAGCCTGCAGATGAGTGGAAGACAGCATTTAAGACGCAGCAGGGATTATATGAGTGGTTGGTAATGCCTTTTGGGCTGTCCAATGCACCGAGCACATTCATGCGTTTTATGCATCAGGTCTTGAGACCTTTTATGGGGAAGTTCGTGGTCGTCTACTTCGACGATATCCTTATTTACAGTCCTACTTGCGCTGCCCATTTTGAGCACCTATGTGCTGTGTTTGAAGTGCTAAAAACAGAGAGTTTGTTCATCAACAAGAAGAAGTGCTTCTTTTTCACAACTTCAGTGCAGTTTCTTTGTTTTGTGGTGTCCACTGACGGAGTGCATGCAGATCCCTCAAAGATTGAGGCAATTAGCAGCTTGCCTAGGCCAAGGACACTACACGACATTCGTAGTTTCCATGGTTTAGCATCCTTCTATCGCAGATTCATCAGGAATTTCAGCAGCCTAATTGCACCCATCACCGAGTGTCTCAAGGGTCGAGAATTCCAGTGGACTGAGGAAGCGGAGTGCAGCTTTGAGCAAGTGAAACAAAAGATGACTCAAGCACCAGTCTTAGCACTTCCAGATTTTGACAAAGTGTTTGAGGTCAACTGTGATGCATCCGGCATTGGCATTGGAGGGGTGCTGAGCCAGACGGGGCGTTCGGTTGCGTTTTTCAGTGAGAAACTTTCAGGTGCCCAGAAGAACTACTCCACGTATGATCTGGAGTTCTACGCCATTGTTCAGTCACTAAAACATTGGCGCCATTATCTAATACAGAAGGAGTTCATTCTGTTTACTGATCACGAGGCTTTAAAGTATATCAATGGGCAGCACAACTTGAATAGGCGACATGCCAAATGGGTGGCATACTTGCAGGAGTTCACCTTTGCTCTGAAGCACCAAGCGGGCAGCGTGAATTGTGTTGCCGATGCCTTGAGTCGGCGCAGTCTGCTTCTCACCTCTATGAGCAATCGAGTTACAGGATTTGATGTGTTTGCAGACATGTATAAGGATGATCCTTCGTTCGGGAAGATATTTATGGAGGTAATTTCTGGTCAGCGATGTGATTTTATTGTGCACAATGGTTATCTATTTCGAGGGCAGCAGCTGTGCATTCCAGATTGTTCCTTGCGGCAGCAGATTATCAGTGAGCTCCACAATGAAGGGCATTTTGGTCGAGACAAGACTCTTGTTCTTGTGTCGGCTGACTTTTATTGGCCAAAATTGAGAAGTGATGTGACCCATTTTGTGGATCGTTGTTTTGTGTGCCAGCGTTCAAAGGGAGTTCTTACTAACGCAGGTCTTTACACCCCATTACCTGTTCCTGAAGCTCCTTGGTTTGATGTTAGCATGGATTTTGTGCTTGGTTTACCCCGCACCCAAAGGGCAACAAATTCTGTCTTTGTAGTTGTTGACAGGTTTTCCAAGATGGCGCATTTTATACCTTGTAGGAAGACCATGGACGCTGCGCGGATTGCTCATCTTTACTTTAAGGAGATTGTACGGTTGCATGGAGTTCAACGATCCATCACTTCAGATCGTGACACGAAGTTCATGAGCCAGTTTTGGAAGAGTTTATGGGAAAAGTTGGGCACTCGTTTAAACTTCAGTAGTGCCTATCACCCCCAAACGGATGGTCAGACGAAGGTGGTGAACCGCAGTTTGGGCAACCTCCTTCGTTGCTTGGCTGGAAATAAGGCGAAGCAGTGGGACTTAGCTCTTCCTCAAGCAGAATTTGCCTACAACAGGTCGACGAGCAGGACCACTGGCATGAGTCCATTTCAGGTTGTCTATGGTTGGAACCCGACAGGGGTTCTGGACTTGGCCCCTATTCCACGTGTGGGGCGTTTTCATCCTAGAGCCGAGGAGATGGCAGAGCATCTGAAGGAAATTCATGAGCAGGTGCAGAGTAAGATTGAGGAGAGCAACAACAAGTACAAGGCCTAGGTGGACAAACATCGTCAAGTTCTGTTTGATGTCGGCGATTTTGTTTGGGCTGTATTAACAAAAAATCGCTTCCCTGTTGGCGAGTATGATAAACTCAAGGATCGGAAAATTGGACCCTGTGAGATAGTTCAGAAGATCAGTGATAATGCTTACCGATTGGGGCTTCCCAGTCACTTGAAAACTTCTGATGTTTTCAATGTGAAGCACCTAACTCCTTGTTTTTTGGATTCTAAGGAAGATGATGTGAACTCGAGGGCGAGTTCTTTCCAACCCGGGGAGACTGATGCAGGAGAGGATCCAGACTGACGTGAACTCCTTGTTAAGGCCTTCATTTTTCAATTTTTGTGTCTTTGGGCCTTTGGCCTATCTTTTAGTTAGCCCATTTATTTTTATTCTTAGGCCCGTTTTGTCTTCCATCTTTTAGGGTTTCAGTCCCTTCGTTTTTCAGCTATTTATAGCCTGGCTTGTAGGCATATTTCATTCAGACCATCATTATTTGAGAATATTTCCTATACCTAGAGCGGAATTCTTCCCCTAGCGTTTCAATCATTCCCTTTCTTTCGTTGCTCTTCTCGTTCTAGCCCTACGCCTTGATTTAATTCGGCGTTAACTAGTGCATGCCAAAGTTACAAGTGCCACCTCTACTCCCTCACTCAAGATCATAATATAATGGCATCAGTCCCATTATATTCATGTTTCTAGTTAACTTAATGAAGCTTTACAGGCCACTTAGAGGACACTTTTATACTCCTTCAGTCCCAAATTATGATTCCCTGTTTGACCGAGCACGGAGATTAAGAAAAGTTTAAAAAGTTATTGAATTTCCTGATATACCCTTACACTCTAGGTATGCACCCCATAGTATACCATAATTTCCGGGCATGGACCATGGAGAAGAGGGCAGCCTCTGAATATAGAATGTCAGCAGGAAAATGAGAATGAAGTTAACAATTAGAGTGGAGAAGATGAAATCAAGCTCAGTAAGACCAATGTTAGAGTTGGTGGCTACATAGATGGCAACACTGGTGCGAGCTAGCTGTTTCATCACAACTTTTAATGGGAATTGAGCGTCAACGGCGAATCTAGATCTCCAACTGACAAGAGAAGTTGTCGACAATCTCCACTAACAAATTACACGGGTAGTTTTTAAGGGAGAACGGGAATCTGGATCTCCAACTGGATTTAATTGGCAGTCGGACACATTTCCAAATCTGAAGTGAAAGCTACTGGGACAGAGGGTATAAAGAGCAGCGCAACGGAGGGTCTCCAAGTGCATTTACCTCAAATACTTTGCACTTTGCTGTAAAAGAGGGTATGGAATCTGATAAAAGGGAAGAGTATTGAGGGTATCTGTGTCTTTTCAATAAAAAGTTTCCTTGTTAAAAAATGGGAACTTTAGAAAAGCAAAAACAACATGAATAAAGGGTGTAAAAAAGGACATAAGGCCTTTTAAACATAAAGATCACATGACACAAGACAAAATGAAAGATGAAGATAGTGTTAACCTAAAAAATTATCTCTAGATTCATTGAGTCAAGCTCGTTGATTGAAGGTTAAGGTTGTGCTGTTTGTTTTATGCAAACAAACAAATTTTTTTATTTAAAATAGTGAAGTAGAATGATAAGCAAAACAAACCACGTTACTAGTACAGACATCTCTTTCCCCTTCCCCCGTGAGGTAGAAAGGAAAATGTAAGATTGAGTGAAAAAATCCAGTTTATATTTCACAATACCAAATGTTATATATCGGGCCTGTGTTCTCAAAAACCCTCAATAATAAATGCTTCCCTTATATTTCCTACACCTCATTCATGACAAACACACCAAGTAAGGACATATTTTATTACCATAGCTGAAATTACCCCTTCTTTTTTACCTTTGGAGTGTTTCTTTTTGTCACAAATAAACCTTTACTCATTTCATTTTGTTACGGCTCAAATTGTCTTTCACTTTTCCATCATTCATGTATTTCTTTTCAACTAAATAAATTTTTGCTCATTTCTTCCTTATTAGAGCCAAATTTTCATACCATTTTTTGTTTACTCTTAAATTGTTAAAACTTTTTCTTTAAAGTGTGTTGGTTTCTCCCTAAAATGGAGTGCTGAGTATGTGCATGCACCTTAGGGATTTAGTTTGTAGTTTACAATGACATGTTTTTTTCCAAAAACTGAAGTTGTGTATGCCTGCTCTGTTTGCTTTTAGTTTTGTAAAGTGTCATTTGTGTGTGTTTGTGCTTGTGCTTTTGCTCAGTTCATGATAATGTGTTTCCTTTGTCTGTGCTTTGTGCTTCAGCCAGGGGCCTCTTTGAAAAAAGCCTTACTACTGCTAAGTAGGGGCAAGATCTGCTTACACACACCCTCCCAAGACCCTACTTTTGTGGAATTTTATCAGATTCGTTGTTGTGGAAATAGGGGTAGTATAAATACCCCTTGTAATGGTTTGGAAGATAATCAAGTTTTGAATGTAAAAATATGTTTCTACATACATTGTGGATTTCAAAATTCTAGCAAGTGATTTGCTATCCATTTCCTAATTTTATCTCTTTGTTTGACAACTTAAAATTTGTATTAGAAATCCACTTTTATATCTCAATAGTGTGTCATATATCCAAATATCAACTTAGCTTATCCTCTATTTTCCCTTAACTTATATTCAAAATTCCCACCGTAAAACACAAAAATATAACTTCCATTTAAATATTTACCAAGTCATAAGTGAATAAATAACATTTGGTATCAAAGCGGGACCTAACATTTAACATTTGGTATCAAAGCACCCCTCCCATATAACACCATATGCAAGATACTAAGCTGCATGCATTCAAAAGTTATTCCCTAAAGTAATCAAAGGCGGAAACTAGAATAACGGATAAGTGATAAAGGCATAATGATTCAAAGAAATGGTAGAAGATAAATTTTTAATATGTTTATGGTATATTACCCCAGTATTGGACTACTACTAATCCAGAGTTGATACTTCTAAACCCCATTTGAGGAGCTGTTCTGAGTTCTGACACCTGTTATGCATGCATACAACTACGATATGATAATCGTGAAAACGAATCTTTGTTGAGAAGTTGACATATAAAATGGACAAATAGGGAATTTATGAGGCACTATATAGTGTTCTACAATTTGTCAATTAAATCTAGGGAGTTGAAACAAGGTAAGACAGACAATTTTTCATAGAGTCAGTTAGTGGGCCAAACAATATAATGACTCTGTATGTAAAAACAGATATGTCATAGGTTTTGTCTCGTATTCCCTCTATTAGAAAATTTGCCAAGGGTGTTTTTGAGGAAGTTGAAAAGTGGATTTAAAAGTGTTATTAATTGGGGAAATGCTGATTTGAAGATCATAATATCTTTTCAATGGTTAAAAAACTTTAAAAAAGAAAGTAATGGGAAGATGATTTGGGGCATCCTACTATATGGTTTTTGTGAAGATGATTTTGGGAAAGAGGGAGTATATAAATATGAGTCACCTGGCCCATCATATCGAATTATGTTTGTCCAATAATCTGTATTATATATGTAATCAGTTAAAATACACGGAAAAGCAAATATGAATGTCATCCATGTATCATAGTGAATACACATGAATAGTTAAATAATCCAGGTGTAACTAGTATTTTGAGTACGCAGTTAAAAGACCATGATGCAGAACAATACAGTAAGAGAGACCATAATAAAAGTGAGGAAAATGAATTTTTATGATTGACTATTACTCAGAACTTGCAGCATCACGGGAACATTAAGGAAAAGGGAAAACGTAGCCATTTTGAAGAGATCAATTCTTTGTACTTACCAATCCAATCCATTCCATAGACCTTGAATCCATTTGCATTCAGTTTCTTTGCAAATTCAGAATACCTTCCACTGTTGAATTAACTTCAATTAATATTATAAATATAGAAAGGTAATGGAAACCACGGATTGTCTCAAAACAAGTAATTACACTAACCTGTGCTCATTCAGACCATGTAAAATGATGGCAATTCCTCTGCACGGTAAATTTTGGAATGATCAGAACAATTGAACACAAGCATATAGTTGAATCTTAAAAAAATAGTTTTGAAGGCAGTTAACAGAGCAAATTAATTATATTAAATAAAATGCATACAAGTACAAGAAGAGCAAACAACAACACCAAACCCAGTAAAATCTGCCACAGGGTCTGAGAAGGTGTGTACTGAAACCTTACCCCTACCAAAAAAGTAGAGATGTTGTTTTGAAGAGGCCCCCGGCTCAAAGCATAAGGGCACACCGATAAAGGAGAGTAGCATGACGAAAATAAGAACACAAACAAAAACAAGCACACATGAAGAAACTACAAACTTAGGCACTGTAGCACACATGCAAAAACTACAAACTTAGGATGAAAGATATATCCTACCGTGATACCACACTAATCCTATACCTGTAGACGCTCCTATCTAAAGCCATATCGGTAAGATCCTAAAGTTTTAAGTTTTTTATAAGCATCTCCTTCCAACTCTTCTTAGGTCTTCCTACACCCCTCCTCATTCCCTCTAATTTAAGCCTCTCACACCTCCTTGCTAGGGCATCTGTACTTTGCTCTAGCAAACTCCAAGAATGAAACTCCCCCAACATTCCTTCCACTAAAACAAAATCCTCTATGCACCTCCCCATAACCCCCAACAACAGTCTTGATGTAACCATTCAAATTTCATCCAATGATAAACTTCTCATATCGTGGGAAACCTCCACCACCTTCCATCAAACTCCTCCCGCAATTCCCTTTTAACTTCTTCATCCAGGTCAACATGAGGTGCATAGGCACTGTCAACGTTGGTAGTTCACCTACCAAGCACAAGTTTAATAACCATGAGTGGTGCACAAACCCTCCTCACCGCAACCACTAGCTCACGAAGGTCCTGATCAACCAAAATGGAAACCCCATTTTTGTTCCATGAAGCACCGGATTACCACAACTTGAACCCATCCACATCATGCACTTCGGTTCCCACCCATGATGTCTCCTGAACACACGCAACGTGAATCTTCTTCTAATCTTCTTTTTCTTAACTCTTAAGGACCTGCACCAACTCTAAAGACTACCCCATCAAGGACCCCATGTTCCACGACCCATCGATAGAGATGTCAGAGGGAGCGAGTGTTTCGTGATTGAGAATACACAGGAGAGAGCTGTTTGAAAAAGCTAAAAATAAGAGCGATCACCCAACCTTACAATGCAGACCTCATAGTAATTAACAACGAGAATAACTTGTTATAGGTCAAAGCTCTCAACATCTAGAAATGTTGGAAGCCATGATAGTTATGTCATCTTCACAAGACACATCCAATTTGATCATTCAAGCACTGCATTTCATTTGAAAAAGGGGCAACTAAATATTTAAAAACATGTTATCTTTCCTGGATACTATGACCTGTAATTTTGTAACAAAAATAAATACATGAAAATCTTAATTTTAATTTCAATCAAATACTCATATACAAATAGAAAAAAGTTCGCATACAAAAATGTTCAACTATAGGAACATATTCAGTCATGTATATTAATCATAAAATACATGAGGGAATAACTCATAAATCATAAAATGCGTTAGAAAACAAGTAATTGATCGGACATATTTGAAGGAGGGAATAACTATTCATTACGAGAACAGAAATTAATCATTTACCGAATTGTTTCAGAGACTGGCGTCCATGATTGAGTAAACAAGGTGTCGCCTCTGGGCGTAACAAAGAGGGAGAACTGCCTGACCGTATGATCATAGACATCCTGCATCACACGCCTCATTGCAATAGCTCTCCTTGCTGCTACATCCTGGTCCAGGGCACACTTCCTAGCCACCATCATCGTGGGGACCCTCACCTTCCGATCCAATCCCTTCTCATCCTTCCCGCAACCCTTCTCCTGAGACCCAGATGCCGAAACACTCCCTACCCCAGAAGTCATCCGCCAACGCCCCCTAAACGGGAGAAGAAACAGCAGCACAAAGGCATGAACCAGCACCCACAAACTCCGCAACACCTGCATCGAGAACAGAGCGCTGATTCGGCCGCTCGCCCCAGATGTCAGGATTATAGTCGCCCTGGCATTTGTCCCCTTCGCCACATCCACGTCCATTGGTTTCCCAAACGCAGATGCTCTAAATCCGGATACACGCCTGTGCGGATTACCAACTCGCAATCTGGAAAATTGTACGGATTTCGGAAAAAACTTCCGTCTGAAATGTAGCGACCTAATCCCAGTAACATAAAATGCGTGAATCCCTAAGAGAACCATAAAACAGATATGAATAATCCAGCAAAAAACAAACTTTTACAGTTCGTAATGATCCTCAAGAAATTATCAGAAGGAATGAATTTGAATGGGAATGAATGGTTTGTTTTCTCGGAAGTGAAAAAGTTGAAGAGATGGGGAATGGAATTTTGACGGATATAACGATGCAAAAGGAAAGTGCAATTGGGCGGACGATCCTAACCCAGCTCAGCAGGATTGACGGTAGAAAGTTCGCCACAATTCGCTTGAAAGAGACACGTGATAGAAATGCGGCAATTCGCCAAATTCGTTTGAATGGGTAAAGCCGGTATGGGTGACAAGTGTCGTACGTCTTTAGGGTGTTCAGTGACTACCAGGATGCGATTTACACGTGTGCCACCATCCCATCCCATACTCCATTACTCCTCCACCCAAAGCAATTTACTCATTTGATACTCCATGTCTCCATCTCATACTAAATTCCTCTAGGATTCCGTTCAACATATTTTTTTCTCTTTATTATTTATTCTTATTAAAATTAGATTAGAGCAGCCAAAATCAAATCAGATCATATCCAATCACATTAGATCTAAACAAAATTATTATTATTACTATTTGATGGTGTAAATTACTACCCGAGCAAACTACTCTAGACTGGATCTAGGATGGTTTGCTGAGTTTATAACTAAAGTGGCACAGAAAACAAAATATGACCGGGAGGACGGTAGGTGGAAATACCTATAGCCCAATTATTATTAGGATATCGTAAAGTGCACGGAAGCTTTTACACAAGAGTTTTTAGAGAGAAGGATTCGGATCCACTTCTATTGAGGGTTACAAGGCTATTTATAGTAGAGCCTAGGGGACAAGACAAATACTGACCACGTCGTCCCACGTTCCTGGACGGTGCGAGGTGACCTCTCTTGTCACATAGTGTTTTGTCCCACTCATTTGTCAGCTTGTGTTGATGGCACCTCTCTTGGCGTGTGGTGCTTGGACGAGAATATCTAATATTCTTTGTGATCTTTAGTCGCTACCGTCCAACCATACTTGGATTATTCTTTCCGACACATGTACACCCAAACTGGCCACCCAGTACTTTCCCGGGTAGTTTCTTGAAGGAACGTCTGACCAATCGAGATCCCCATGTAATGTCATGCTAGTTGACCGGGTGCCCAATAGTCACCTGGGTGGTCTTGGTTGAAACCCGGCCACCCTAGTAGGGTACAGATCCACCCAAACAATCCTGTTGCATGGTACTTGGACTTTGCCCGGGTGGTCTTGGTTGAAACCCACCCGGGTAAGGTACAGATCCACCCAAACAACCCTGATGCATGGTACCTGGACTTTGCCCTGGTGGTCTTGGTTGAAACCCACCCAGGTAAGGTACAGATCCACCCAAACAACCCTGCTGCATGGTACCTGGACTTTGCCCGGGTGATTTTGGATGGGCCCGACCCCGGTCATGGCCTGAGTGGATTACACTCATCAATAAGTCCTCCACTTCTCGACCTTGTAGGAACTATCAAGGACGGGAAGTACTTTTTCGAACCTGGGTATTTTGCAATTTTTTTGAACTTGGGACGTTTTGTCGCCCGGAATTTCAGTACCGCCTTGATCATTCCAGGACCCTTTCAGCATCGCTATGTCATGTGGCCACTCGGGTAGATTCTAGGTAAACACAATCGAATTATTCCCGCTAGGTTCGCTGTCGTCATATAAGGTTAGAATCCACCAAGATGGATTTTAGCCCAAAGTTACCTGGGTGATCTCTCGGAGGTGAGCACCGAAGTCCTTACCAATCACCCGGTCATGTACATTGTTACCATGCTACCCAGTCATCGTGCTCTCTCTGCTACTGCTACGTCGGGTAGGTGCATGGGACCCAACTTGGTAGAGTTTCCTATGCACGACCGGGTAAACTCCGAAAGTATCCTGCTTCTTGAATCGTCTTGGATTTATCTGCTTATGAAAATCTCACTCGAGTAGGTTGCAAGATACTTTGACCGGGTCAACTTCTCTTATCTTCTTTACTTATCACGTCAATCCAAAAATCCACCCGGGTTGGTTTTTGACAGAGCGCGCCCGGGCTATGCTTCATGTGAGTCATTTCTTCTTTCACCCGGTGAACAAGAACTCTAGTCCTCCGAGTGAGCAAGCTCTAGTCCTCAGAGTGAGCAAGGCAACTCTTCTCCTTCCTGGATTCTTCTTCAAAATTGGCATTTCACAGGCAACGTCGGCCATGCAAATAGGGAAGGTATTCTTAAAGAAGTCCCCCGAGCCAAATTAAGTGAATCCATCGTGACCCACTCACTCACTCGGGTCTGAATCTTGACCAAGTGGGCAGTTTTGGTTTTTCGTGATTCATCGTGGGCAAGGTGGTTCACTCTGAATTTGCCCATGTAAAAAGTGTTTTGGAAAAGATATCGAAGATTGGGGTACGCCTAATGTTCCCAGTCCGACTGGGCTCTTTTTTTGCTGAAACCGATGTGCGACCTGTAACCCCCAACTCGTATAACCCGATTACCTGGATTATTTGAGCCAGAGTAGTTACCATGATGGTAATTACGGATGATAAATTGTTGAATAATTCAAAACTTTAATATAAATAACAAGTTCAAATATATTAATTTCAGAGTAATGTTTGAAACAGTGCGAAAGCTTAAATATAAAACATAATCAAGTCATATTACATTTTCTGGGAACTCGCCCGAAAAGGTATTTATTTAAATAATGCATCATAAAAGTGGTCCACCAGTCCGTACATCTCATCACTCTCATTGACCTCTGGGATGGGCTCCATGATCAGTATTGTTACCTGCGTGTAGCAAGTAAAACAACCTACACGCTCAGCGTAAGCTGAGGAATATGCTAATACAACAATTCCTAGTTGAATAGCAAGTAAACATATAATTATTCATGATATGGCATAGTATAACATATATGCTCAAGATGATGATGATGATAAATACTTGATGTCATACATGATTAATATGATTATACTTGATGATGATTTCATGCTGTATGAATCTAACGTGCAAGGACGACCCTTGCGCTATGAGAATCGCCCATTTGATACGACGAACTCACGCCACCTTAGTCTCACGGGTGAGAATAGAAAAATGGGGGTGGTACTCGAAAGCCTGAATACCATGTACGTACACTAAGCCCGAACATGTGATGTCGGACTACTAAGTCCCGCACAATCACGATATAAGAGATGCACAAGTCATGATCTCTTACGCATGCATATGTTGTGATATGCTTCAATACAAATGATGAAATGAGTCATATGATATGGACAATTTGCAAACAATATGAATATACAATCATACATTAATTTATTTGGGTGAAACATGATTAAAATATCATTTAAGTAAGCTACGGGGCTCGGAACGGTCGACCGTTTGGCACGGCGGTCGACCGTGCTCTACTTCATTTTGTCGGATTACAGTTCACCGTGACAGTCGACCGTAGTTGACCGGCGGTCGACCATTGTTGACTGGCTGGAGGTGACGGCCTTCGGCTGGGCTGGCGGCGGTCGACCGTTCACTGACGGCGGTCGAGCGTTCTGCTGATAGTCGTGGTCCGTGTCAAAGTTTAACACGACGGTCGACCGTTTGGGTTTGCGAATCTTATTTTTGATATTTCGGGTGTCTAAAATACTACTTTAACTCATTTTAACACCTATGATTAACATATCTCTGTATTTGAAGTATTTCTAAGAATTATATATCCATGTATGGAAGAATATCAAGAAATACCTATTTTAACTTTATGAGTTTGATAAGTTTGTTCTTAAGACATAGATGACTTATAATATGACAATCAATCCTAATGATCTATCTAGATTGATATTCAACCAAGGGCTGCGTTACTAGGGTGCAATGTACTCGTCTTGATAACGTAGAGGACGGAAATGATAGCTAATGATAATACGCCTCAACGAACGTTCAACGTAAGGTCACCCCTATCAACTTCGAGCTTCCGACGCCCAACCTTCTTGAAAATAACCTCTGGAAGTTCATAATAACCATTAGAGAGTTGACGATAAGCGTTTGGAAAGAAACAACACGAATATGATGAAGAAACATAGCCAACCCAAGGAGCTCACCACCACTGGCGCAGTCCCGGTATTTTGGCCATATCTTCTCCGTTACTTAACGAAATCACGAACTGTTTGTTGGGTTGGATTCGTAACGTCCGGGGCTACAATTTTGGTATGATAAGTATTTCAAGAAAATGAACAGAAATTTACAGAATTGACTCACAAGTGGACTGATTGTTTTATGCTCAGGATTTTGGGAACCTTGATACTTCTTCTTGTTTCTCCTTCTTCTTTCTTGGTTCAACAATGGAGTTGGAGTCTCCTTTTCTCCTTCCTTGATGGCTGGCCGACAGAGAGAGAAATGGGAGAGGGAATATTATGATGATGGATTATGATGATGATCATGTATGAGAATGATGATAGTAGTGGAGGTGATATTATAGGAAAAATAGTTTGGAGTTTATTGTTAGTGGGGTTCCTAGGCATTTCCTAGAGTGGCTAAAAGGATTTTGAGGGGATTTGGGGCTACGTGATTGGAGAGATTTGGGATTTTAAAATATTCTCTTACTCCGTAAACTGGTTAAAACGGTACACGCTTTTTCGACTAAACTGTCCCGAATTGAAAACGGAACGCGTTTTTGGAATCAGATTGTTAAAACTAAAATTTTGATATAATTATAAAATATTTTTCTGAAAACTTCTATTTTTCGGTGTTCAGGTCTGTCTCAGTCATTAATTAATATTTAAATTAATTAATTCTTTTAGACCTAAATTCGGGGCGTTACACGACCGGTGTACCCAATTCAATTGGGCTCAGACTCGTTGGAAAATATGTGCAAGACCAGTGCGAGACCAGTGTACCAGTTCAACTCGGTCACATATTTTCTTTATTTTTTGTTTATACTGCGCAAGACAGGCGTGGGACCAGTGTACCAGTTCGACTAGGTCGCAGTCTTTCTAATATGTGCAAGACCGGTGTGAGACCAGCGTACCAGGCCAGGCCTGTGTCACATACTTTTATCATTTTTTTAATTTTACTAAGCAAGACCAGTGTGATAACCAGCGTACCAGGTCCGAGCATGTGTCTTAGTTCGTTCACCCGGGCTGGGTCAAACTTACTCGGGTGACTTTCGCGTGATGTAGTTCAAGATATGTTTGACCTACATTTCCCTTGTTAACCGAGTAACCGTGTGGGCGAAAGGATTACCTTGCCAGGTTTCGATGTGTGTTCGATGTATCTGGTCTGACCGATTCACCTTGCTAGCTCCCATGATCAGACCTGGTCAGGTTGATTTTTATACTTTCCCCTTCCCCCAAGGCTCGAGCCATATTCTGGAGACATCTACACTCTTTCGTATCATGTGAATTCGTCTTGTGGTAGGTACAATACCTATCTACCCGGGACCATTCTTGACCTTCTTTTTCTAGATTTTGGACTTCATAGCACTTCTCACCCCGAACCTCACTTATGATCGGGTCACCATGAGGTCGGGGCTCGCTCGAATCAGCTTGGTTGTTTCCACCATCACCCTTTAGACTGGGCTTAAGTTTTGAATGCGCTAACTCAGTTTCTTTCTTTGCGTGGTACTGATCTTCTGCTTCAGCAAATTCCCATGCCATGTTGTAGGCTTTCTGGTAGGTGCAGGGAGTCTCTTGCAAAATTCTTTATACAGCTCCCCGGCCCTGAGGCCGCTCAAAAAGAGCGACAACATCGTTTTGTCGTCTATCTCTTCCACCTTGTTGACTTCATCCCTCCACCTCATCAGGAATTTGGTGAGGTTCTTCGACTCCCTCTGCCCGGTAGCGCTAAGGTACGCGAAATTCTTCCTCTTGGTACAGTTCTCCTGGAACTTGGCTTTAAATTTGTCGGCCAGCTCGTTAAAAGAGTCAATCCTGCCGGGCGGGAGCTTGTCGAACCATTCAGCCGCTCGCCCACGTAGCGAATGGAAAAAGAGGAGGCATTCTTCCTCGCTGATACATCATCGTGGCACTCTGGTGGAAGGAGTTGAGGTGTATCTCGGGATCTTCCTTACCCATGAACTCAGGCATCTTCATCTTTACCTTCTAGGGAAAAGGCGTTAGATGGACCTCGCGGTGAACGGTGAGTTCGCCAATTGTCGCTTATCTTTGTCGTTCTTCTCTTTTACTTTCCTCTCCAGCCTTTCCAACATGGCCTCCACTTGCTGAACCCAGTCCGGGACGTTCCCCAGTCTACCGTGTGTCAGTTCGCGTGGTTGGCTTTCTACTCTCCCTTCCATGCGGGACACCCGGGACCGATTGGGTTCCTTCTTGTTTGACTGGGAGGACTGGGAACAGGCAAGCTCGGCCTCCTTTCCCTTCCCCCACTGGTCAAAGTTGCTGACATGGGTTTCCCCAAATCCCAACCTTGACTCGCCAGTTTCCTATGACGTTCATCCCTCTCCCCAGCCTATTAAAGGTTGAGTCCCTTGATGTTGTTGGTCTTAGTGTCTTTCCTTTCTTCTTCTTGTGCGTGCAGGGGATGTCTCATTCTTCATCCCCGGTCTAAATTGATATGCAGTGGCCATCCGGGGTACTTTGCGGATGGCACGATGGTTCAACAGCGTTCATGGTACCCGTCAGATTGACTGGGGAAATCGTGCTGACCACCTGCGTTGGAAGGGTGATGGTTGCGGCACTGACATTTTGAAAGGACTTGGAGCCATGGGAGTCTGCAGCGGTAATGGTCCCACGCCTAGAACCGCAAACGAGATCATGCCCTAGAGGAAAGGCATTCCTCCAGCTTGTTGACACATGGCCATCACTTGGCTAAAGCCTTGAAAGGCTTGCATGTTGGCTGGATCATTCATGAACCGAGTCATGCTTGGTGGGAACGTTACCCGTGGCCCGGCGGATGGTAGCGGGATCGTAAAAGGTGTGGTATTGGTTGGAGTTGTGACATGACTAAGGCCCAACGGAATCATCAAGGCGGGAGGAGTGGGTTGGGAGGTGACCATGAGCATGGTCGCCCCTTCGGTGGTGGCTTTGGCTCGGATGGAAGAAATGGTGTTTTGCTGACCGGTCGACATGTTTTGTAAGTGGTGTTTCGTGGGTGATAATAAAAAAGAACTCAAACCTGTCCCACAGTCGGCTCCAAAAATGATGGTGTAAATTACCACCCGGGCAAACTACTCTAGACTGGGTCTAGGATGGATTGCTGAGTTTAGAAACTAAAGTGGCACAAAAAATAAAAGTTGACCGGGAGGACTATAGGTGGAAACACCTCTAGCCCAATTGTTATTAAGATATCGTAAAGTGCACAGGAGCTTTTACACAAATTTTAGAGAGACGGATTCGGATCCCCTTCTATTGAGGGTTACAAGGCTATTTATAGTAGAGCCTAGGGGACAAGACAAAGACTGACCACGTCGTCCCATGTTCCTGGACGGTGCGAGCTGACCTCTCTTGTCACGTAGTGTCTTTCCCACTCATTTGTCGGCTTGTGTTGATGGCACCTCTCTTAGCGCGTAGTGCTTGGACGAGAATATTTAATATTCTTTGCGATCTTCAGTCGCTACCCACTACAAGAAAAAGGACTTTTAGCTACGAACCAATTATGACGGGTTAAAGATACTCTCATTAAACGTGTTAGTTATACATTTTTTATGACGGGAAAAAATCTGTAGTTATAATGTGTTACTTTTAGTGACCAATTTTGTATCCATTTCTTTTTTTAATATTTAATACTCTCACTATAGATAAATAGAACTTTAATAATCTCACAATAAAATTTTAATACATATTCTAATCAGGCCAAATTAAAATACTTCCTCCGTCCCAAAAAAATTTACACCTTTCAAAAAAATTGTGTCCCACAATCTCCTACCCATTTCTATTAAAAAACCACTTTTACCCCTTATTTTTTCAAACCCTACCTATCACATCATACCTTTTTTCTAATAATCTACACATCACATCCTACTTTTACCCATCACATCAAGGGTATTTTTGGAAAGTCAATACAAAATTATCCCTCCCTTAATTTTTACTTTAGTCAAAATGGGTAACACTTTATGGGACGGGGGGAGTATATTCCAAAATGAAGTACTCCCTCCGTCCCTGAGTGTTTGTTCACTTTCATTTTTGCACATCATCCAATGCACTTCTTTAATCCATTTTATCTTATAATTTGTATATTAAAAAATTATAAAAATTATATATTAATAATCTATATGTTAAGACGAATCAAACAAGATCACACATGACTATTTTTAGGCTTACACATTGAGAGAATTTGATAAGTCAAAGTGCTTAGATGAACAGTTCCAAAAGTAAAAAATGGACGAACACTCATGGACGGACCAAGTACTACGGTAGATGAATTTTTACAGAGTATTTTGCAGAAAGCCTTCTTCTAGCGAAGGCAAAATTGCTAGTTTCGCATCCACGACCTTACCTTGCAGATTTCGTCATTCCGATAACCGCCGACCTTGCAGGTTCCGGCATACACCAGATCCGACCGCCACTCCGTCCGATGACTAGTGCTGAGGGATACAACCTCTTTCCAGTGCTTCGTCCGCCACTGTTTCCGCTGGTTTTTTGGTTACCCTCGATTCAATTCCAGTGCTCAGGATACAACCCCCACCAGCTTATATTCCCAAATCAGGTTTATAATTTTTAATTTGTTTCCAGTATGATGAGTTTGCATAATTAGTTTTCTCACGAGGGTTTGAGCAGCCAATCAGCTTCTTGATTCATTAATCTATAATATGTGACTTTGTTTCATTTCTGAATCAGTTTTGTTTTTAATGTTTGGGTAAATTTGTTTATCAATTTGGTTTGAAGTTTGACTCTTTGGCACAAATAATAGCATTCCCGAGCATAAGTTTAGTGTTCTATATTTTTGTTGTTGTTCTTGTGCATTTGGAGCTTCTCTCAGTTTGGTTGTATTTGTACTGCAAGAATCCATCATCATCTATACCCTCACAATTATCCTATTTAGGTTTAAAAGATTCATAGTTTACGCCTTGACGACCTCCATGGTTGTTGTCAAAGTGTTTTTGGTTTAGTCTTTCCCTCCATGACGTCCACAACTTTTATGGTTGTTTAAAAGTTCATTATTGGCCATACTTCCACAGCTAGCATGCTTGTTAGTGGGTCATCACCTCTGCCTCCTTGATTGTGTTTGACGCATTTTGGGTCATCGTACTGTTTGGGCCATAACTTTGGCTACGGGTGTCCGATTTTAGTGGTCTATCCCTTTTCAGAAAGCTCTCAGCGAGATGCACAGGGGCCCGATCGGTCTAAGACCCATTGGGGTCCATCTTTGACTCAAAATTCTGCTGTTTAACACATTATATTTTCACTTTTGTGATTTTCGGCATTATTGTTGTTTTGTTCTTTTCTCATACAACCTTGATTCAATTCGGATTTAAGTTTCCTCTAGAACCTATTTTGGAAAGAGAAATGTTCATTGCAGAACAAAGACCTATGAAAATTAAACACACGCTTGAAGATGAATTGTATTACCATTCCTGCAAACATGCAGCCAAGGCTCCAAAAATCTAAAGAATAGTCATAGTTTTGTAGGGTAACCAAGAGTTCAAGACCCTAAAAAAAGCCCGAACAACAATCATATTTTAGTGATGGCTACAGTTAGCATGATAGCTTAAACCGACTCTGTTTTTACCATTATTTGTGTCTTTGAAATTGACTTAGTGTTGTTACCTTGAAGCCACACGAACATTGTATTCTTTTCCTAGGTGGTAAAATTCAGCAAGCCCCTAGTCTATGAGGTAAAGCTTTCACAACACATGGTCTATCACAACATATTGAGGTTTCACTTGAAGAGGCTTACACTTTGAAGACGCATCTCAAGTCTTTTTGTGAGGCAGGCTATTGTATGTGAGACTTTAGGTAATAAGGCCCATATACTGAAAGTTTGTCCTTAATATGTAAGAAACATCGTATCGGTCTATTTTTCTCTCCACGTTGTCACTCCCTAGCTCCAAGTCTCAGCAATCAGCAGCTATATGCATTACTTTTTTTTCTTTTCTTGAACCTGATGCTCCATGCCTCTGTTCTTAATTTCTTATTCTTATAGAATTATCAACAAATAGAATTATCTGGTTTCTTTTAGATGTTGAATCCTCTCATCAAATTCTTTACTATAGAATTATTAACAAATAGATATTCTTGAAACTTAACAATGGAGGAGAGCTCTCTTTTCAACATCTATGTTATAGCCTGTTTTGATCGTTCCCATTAGTTTTTTTCCAAATAAGAGTGTTTTTATGCAATCCCAAAGTTATTTCTATTGTGTGTTTATGGTTGTTATTCTATTCAATCTGTTTATGACTCTTGCCTATTGATCAATGATTTTATCTTGTTTACTATTTATTGTTGTTACTTGCTGGTTACTAAAGGTTACTTTAAACTTGTTTTGCATTCTGGCCCGCTTAGATACCAAAAGGCGTCGAGCGTGGGCAGCTATTGGTACTTAGAGGCAACGTTATGATGATCTTTTACTCTGTTTTTTTACAAGTTAAGTGCACCGTTTACCCCCGAATTCTTTGAAAATTGCATGGTTTACCCCCGAACATTAAAAAGTGCACCAAATATCCCTGAATTCTTTAGAAATTGCACAATTTACCCCTGAACAATAAAAATTGCACCAAATGTTGGACAATGTGCTATCATGAATATGTATTTTTGCATTGTCCTTTGCCCATTGTTTTTTAGGTTTTGATAATGACAAAAGAGTGACAAAATATCATCATCATTTTGTGCATCAAGGCTAAGAATCAAAGCTACAACAAGTTCATATCCGTCCGTGAAGAAGGGACTTGAGCATCGGTGGAAAGAACGAGACCGAAGAGGTTGTTTCCTTAGTTGGGTAGTGTTTTAGGTCTTAGATTATGTGTTAAAGAGTATGGCATCTGTAACACCCTAATCCGTCCAGGTCTGCAGCCCCTTTCGGACTAAAGTATTAACTTGGTAATCGTAAAATTTAAAACTTTTCAAACACTTTTATTTATCACGATAATATTTTTCATAACATATACAGTGCGGAGTTTTCAATATTGCGGAAGCTTAACAAATCATAATTACAAACATAATTTATTTATGTTCTTTAATTCAAAACCATCACATCCATTCCGACAATCTCGCCTCCGTCTGCCTCCAGAATCACATCATTCTTTCTATTAACCTGCGTGTAGCAAATAAAACATACTACACGCTCAGCGGTGAAGCTGAGTAAGCATATCTAAA